ACCTGCAAAAAGGAAAATTAAAATAATATTAAAAAACAAGTAATTATTTGATACATAATTTACTACAAGTACTTGACCCAAAGCACTGTCAGTACATCATGAACCTAAATAACTGTTTAACAACCACATCTAACAGTGGACACTTCTTCTAAAACCAGCACAGAAACACCTTCTGTGGTCCTCTCTGATGTAGACCTGGGTCTGGATGGTGCTATCCACTGAATAAGTCCTTATCCAGTGGATTAGTGTTCACAAAACCTTCTGAGCTATTCACCCAGTAAAGACGTATCCAGTGGACAGCATTATCCACCCCCTGAACTACTTGTTGCCAGTTTCAAACTGCAGGTGTTGAAACAAACTAACCAGGGTTGAAATCATCCCAAACTAAAATTTCCATCCAAAGTCTACAAAAAAGCATTACAACTTTTGTAATACAATTTCTGACGATACTTACTCCACTCAAGTCCACTCCAGTGAGAGCCTGGACAGCAGGAGGCAGCTCACTCACAAGTTTGGACACTTCACCTGTGACTCCTGCACCACTATCACCAACAAGAACAATTTGGTCGGTTTTAGCCAAAGGAGCTGCAACTTCTGCTGCAACCTGAAACAACATAAAAGAAATTATATTTCATGCAGTTTTCTTTTTTCATCCTAAGATCTCTTTCAATACAGCAAAAACAACTTGAGTCACACCTTCATCTTTGCCTTGTTGCAGATACAAGTTAAAAAGTTGATCTATTGAATGCAAACCCTTTTTCAAAGGCAAGATATTTGCTTAATTTGTTATCATAACAGGTTTCCACTGAAATGGCCAATTCCAGTACTATGTAATTTTGTGAACTACCACGACCTTCTTTTCACTTTGAATTCATTGTTGATGAAGAAAAACAAAACGTTACCTCCCAATGCATTATTTTGCAAAAATTTATACTTTACAGGAATATCAATTGAAATTATTTTTGATAAACAAGAGGACTGATGTTACCTTTGGCAAAGCCTCCAATACCAAGGCAGTTAAAGCAGCATCTCCATACATTTTGTATGCTGCAGCTTTCTGTCTCATGCCCTCTGCCTCGGCTTTACCAACTGCTTCAATGGCAGACGCTTCTGAGCTTCCTGTCATCTGTTGATCAAAATATTCCCAAAGTGATATATTATGTTACAAAATTAATGCTGAATTTTTGCCATAAATCAGATCAATTTATGGAATAAACACTACTTCATGCTACTTCCATGAGCATATAAACAAGAGCTTATCATTTGACATCAGCTAGTGGATAGACTAGACAAACTGTATACAGGATTGTGCTGCAAGAGCATCAAGCAACGTTCCTGTGAGACTCAGAAAACTGCAAACGTTTTCATTGTATTCTAACAAGCTGATTGTGTACAATCACAATAAAATTTAAGGAAAACAATCACACCAACAAACCACAAGCTCATTGCCATTGCTGTTTGCAGTTCAGTTAATCCCATTCTGATTGGCTTTTTCCTTAAAACACTAAAAACGTTATTTTCCACTTTTTTTTTTCTGTTCATGGTTTTCTGAGTTTAAGGGTAAGCATTCAATAGAACAAAAATTTTGTCACCTTAATCCTCTCTGCATCTGCCTGTGCTGAAAATACAGTCTGTGTCCTTAAACAAAATTGATCAGTAGGCATCAGCAACAATTGAAACTACTCACTAGAAGATCTGGTTTAATAGTTAAAGGCAATTTCTTCCAGTATTAAAGAGTTAAAAGATTCTTAGCACATCAGTTACAGGACCCGTAACTCAAATCTCCCAAGGATAGTTGTCAGTTCCAATAGGAATAGTTTTTGCTCTCTGTGTTAACAACCAAAATTGTGAGATCAGAAGTTTTTAAATTCAAGTCACAGAAATATCAGGAAACAAAATAGAATACATGTAGTTAGGCTAACACCCACTCTAATATTCCTTATGTCTTGACTTAAAAAATAAAAGGTCTCTGATAAACAATATTGATAAACTTGATACAACAATTAGCCAGGGAGAAAGACACAATATGGAGTTCCATCTTAAACAAAAATAAGGAAAAAACTTTGAGTGGTGTATGTTTATAAGACCTAAGTGAAAACTTCTGTGCAATTTAAAACATATGATTAAAAAAATCCAGTTTGAATGACTATGATGAGCACCTTTTTCCTTGTGCAATTGTTTCCACTCTGTAACTCTCAGCTTCAGCTGGTCGTTTTACTGTAGCCACCAGCTCTTTGTCTTTTCTGGCCACTTCCTTTTCTTCAACTTCAATTTGCTTCTTTCTCTCCACAACATCAATTTGGATTTCTTCAGCTCGGATCTTCTGCTTTTCCTTTGCAGCCTGGATAGAACACAAAGTTTAAAAAAAAACTTACTCTAGGATCACTCTTTACTTTGAGTTATATAGTATTTCAAAATTGCCCTATTTACAATTGGCCAAATAAAATTTAAATCTACATTGTGGGTCTCTCCAAGTGATGTTTACCCTTTCACTCCCAAGATATCACAAATAAAAATATCTTTAAAAATGTTTTCTTGCGTAGTATCGCTGAGTATTTTTAGGAGTTGCACTGTATTTTGACAAGCCTGTCGGGTGGGTCAAAATACAAACAATGAGTAAAAGTACTCAGTGATACTACACAACAAAACATTTAATAGGAGATTTATTATCTAACACAGCAGATTGTTATTTCAGCGTAGGCGAATTTTGCAGATATTTCTGGAGTACAAATATCACGTGATAATTGTACTTATCTCATGTGTTATTTGTACTCTATAAAGCACAGTTGGATGATAAATATATCTTATTACACGTTTTGTTGTGTAGTATCGCTGAGTATTTTTACGAGTTGTGCTGTATTTTGACCAGCCCTATGGGCTGGTCAAAATACAAATAACGGGCTGGTCAAAATACAAATAACGAGTAAAAATACTCAGCGATACTACACAACAAAACATCTAATGAGTTATTTATTATCTAACATGCCAAATTGTTATTTCAGTGTGGGTGAATTTCAAGGATATTTATTTACTGAGAGTGCTTGACATAAGTATGCAAAGCACAATGGCATTGGCACGCTGTCGTGTTGCTGTTTCTATTTTCTTCAATAAATGAAGAATTGTCTTGGTTGTCTAGCTGTTTTTCTTCATTCAATTCATTTAATAAACTTGGATCTACATTTGCCAGCTATTCCGACTCTTTGTCATCAGAAATATCATTCAAATTGTCTGCCAATTTTTTTTCATAACTCTAATCCAATTCTTCATTGGCGCAATGCAAGAAAACCCGTCTAACCCGTTCTCTGGAGTGCAAATACCACATGATATTTGTACTCATCTATGGCGTTATTTGTACTCTATGGAGTGTAGTTGGATAATAATTCTTCTTACTGTCTGCCATACAATTCTTATCATGTTAGTTCAAGGAATTTGGCATCGAATCAACTAACAATCCACTAATTGATATTTAACCTTATTCTCATCACTTGTCTGCTTGATACTGTATCAAATGACTGTTGCAAGGAGAAAATCTATCTTGATCACTCTCAGGAGTAAAAGAGTTGAGTGGGCAGTGATTAAGCTTGATTTGAAAAAAAAATGGCAACTTACAGTAATGATTCTACCTTTTTTTAATTCCTCCATTCCTTCAATGAACCCCAGTCTTTTAAGTACAACTGATAACTCATATAAACAACTGAACAAGCAAATGGTAAGGAAAGAGGAGTTTACCTGCAATTCATAGGAAAGTTCTGCTTCAGCTTTTCTGCCATTTACTTCCTGGTCAAAAGCAGCTTTCTGCATCTGAAATTCTCTTGAGGAGTCTGCAATATTTGTTTGCGCTTGATAAGCTACATCCATCTTTTCTTTTTCACACTCTGCTTCCTGGTGAAAATAAAATAAAATTTTACATTCAACTTTTTTATTTGTTGAAAAGTTAGATGATTGTCACAACAAAATTAATGCCGTGAGGATTTGAAACCTTAAAATTCACTTAATTTTAACCATAATTTTATCCTTGTGGAAAAGAATTTTAGTTTTAATATAGTCGTGTATTATCATGGCACTAAAAATCAAAAGTACCTCAAAAAGACTAGTTAAAATTGGCTCTAAAATAAAAGTTCATACCATCTTCTAAATGTGATTTTATTGATACAAAAGACAAACAAACAAATATAGCATAAAAGCCAGCCAACAAGCTCATCTACAACAATCCTTGTCTAAGAACCCTGGAGTTCAATTTTAATTAAAAAAAAAAAAAAAACTCACCCTTATTCCTGCATCTCTGTTTGATTCAGCCACACCTATGTCTGCATCCCTCTTCACTTTGGCTGTCTGAGTTTTACCCAGTGAGTCCAGATAATCAACATGATCTTCAATGTCCTTGATGGTGAAGCTGAGGATTTCAATCCCCATCCTTCCGACATCAGGAGATGCCACTTCACGGACCAGAGCAGCAAATGCTTCACGATCTTTAAAAAAAGTAGAAGGATGTCAAGAAAAACTATATATGACGATAACAATCATTCACTCCTGAAATCTCACAACAAATTCTCTCTACTGACTGCCACACTACATCCCTTAATAATATTTTTTTAACTGCATTGTCAGCACCTGTATCTTTGGTAAATGTAACTACACTAAAAAAGAAATAACACACTGTCAGTGTCTGAGAGTCTGGGGGTAACAAATTAAAAAGAGAGATCATCCTGGCTTGATATACCCTGAGCCCATACAATAAACAACACATTACATCACTGTGACACCCTTGTATTTACTGTAACCATTTTAACTTCTCTTAATCAAAGCTAAGGTAAGACCAGGTCTACACTCTGTCAGCAAAAAGATTGCCATTGTACCTTTGTAAATCTCTTCCACAGACAGAGTACCAAGAATAGCTCGAAGATGTCCTTCCAGTGTTTGAAGGATGATGTTTTCAATTTGTCTGGTTGTTCTTCCCAGAAACTGTTCACAAGCTGTCTTGAGGAGTTCAGGTTCTGTCATGACTTTTACTTGAGCGACACCTGTCACAGTAACAGCAACACCTTGCGCTGTCTCCACCTTCTCACACTTTGGGTTGAGTGTCATCACTTCCAATGTTATGCTATTAAAGAAAATCACTTTTGAAAAAACTGCCAAAAAATTAAACATTATCCAACATAATGCAAGCCTTGAGTTTTCAAGGGCTATATAACTAGTATTTTCTACCACTTTACTGAAAGTTGAAAGGCAGTACAAAGTCATAGATCTTTTTTTATATTATTCAGAAATTTTTCTTGCACCAAGTTATTCTTAATTGTACTTAAAATACTTTGTCTACAAGTAAACATTGTAGATATGACTCTACCCCTAACAATATTCAGTATCAGTCAAAATAAATGTACAGTTATTAAGAATCAAATTATCTTTCTTTGGTTGGGATTTTAAAACAAAAATTATTAAGCAGTGAAAAATAATTAAAGAAGTTTGGAGATCTTTGATGAGATATTTAGGTAGAATGCATTACTGAAGCGAGTGTAGTCGCTGACGAGGGGAGAGGAACATTTTAACAGGTCAAGATATAAACATATACCTACAAACATAAAAACTATACGGTTGTAATACCATGAATACTGGTCATGGGTGACTGAAAGTTGCATTCAAATCAAAAAAACATGAAATTTCCATTTTCCACAAAATAAGTTATCTAATATAAAACTTTCTGCAATTTCAACGCTTTTATAAAAGGGATGACATGATGTGACTACAAAATGAAACGTCGGCAAAAAGTTAAACCTAGACAAAGAGCCAGTGACATTTTGTACACAATCACAGGAATTACATTTAAATTTTAACAGAAACCTGGTAAAGCTTTGTAGGTTTTATTTCTACACGATTTCTAGACGATCTGATTCCGAAATAACCATTCTGCTTTGTCATAAACTGTCCAAGTGCAGCATATTTCGTATCATGCTAGGCACCTGTTCTGAACGGAAAGACAATTATTTGTAAGAGAGAAGATCACACGCTCTGATCCCAAAACTAGAATTTATTTTACTTGTACTTACGACTGAACGTCTGTGACGAGCCACCAAGCCCATACCCAACTCCCTATAACGGTTTTCTTTGCATCATTACCACAACAGCCACCTGAAAATCATGAGTTGTATGCAACATGATTAGAATGCGGAACATGCGTGTTTTTATCACGATCGGTGCGGAGTTATACAGAATCAAAGGCACTTTTATCTTCTACAAAACGCATGATAGATACTTATAAACTTTAACTGTGCATCAGTACCCTTAAAAGCATAAAAGATCGGTGACTTTAGTTGGAAAATAGTAAAATTGTAGCGAAAAAAACCGTACGAATCGAGGTCAATATTTGTTGGTTACAACCCACACTTGTCACGCATCGTTCGAGATGACGCAGAAAGATATCATACAAAAATAAGCTCACCTGAACGAACTAAGGCTTCATTCGGTCCAACAGT